GCCGTTTTGCCTCTCAAAAAATAATGTTTTATGAGAGAACGAAAATCGTTTTCGCAAACACGTCAACAACAATCAGCTCTCAAAACAAAACTAAGGGCAGTATCGCACTGCCACTTGGCATGTCTGCCTAAATATGAACGGACTACAAGGCACCATAAACTTTTTTGCAGTAGTGGCGCATTCTGGCGGTCAAGGAGGTTACCTTTCACCCCATCTAGTATATGTATACAAATAGTTTTTATTTTAGAGTCTTCATAAAAAATTTATTCAAATACATTACATTGCAATATTGCTGGAACGTTTTGTTGCAATACAACAAAAAGCGGATATCTTAATATTGTTGGAATTTTGCAACAATGATTCAGCAACGTTTCGCAACCACCATGCAATATTGCAATGCAATGTTTCAGTGAAAATCATTCTACAATGTTTCTGCAATCTTTCTGTACTGTATAGGAAATAAAATAATTTTTTTGTAATCGAATCCTCAAAAGGAACTGTGATAAAAGATAAGAGTTCTTGCACAAAGAACATGACAAACATTGCAGAAGTGAGATGTATACGTATATTGTCAGTCAAAATGCAATATCATTTCGTTTAATGTAAAAATTAATTTAGGAATTTGATGTTATTAAACGTTATATGTATCAAAATATAATTTAATAAAAAATATAAAATTTAATAAAAACCAAAATAAATCTTAAACACGAAAAGATATAAGAAAGTCATCCTTCAGTTATCATATGGATATAAGACTATAAGATGACTAGCAGTGACATCTACCGTTTGTTAGTCATCTTTTTTCATCGACTGTATTCTTTCACTAAAAGATAATTTTTATAACAATTTAGTCATCTTTTAGTTATTTTTTGCGATGACTTATGCTCTCTCTCTTCCCTCTCCCCCTCACCCCCCCTCTCTGGGATATTGCATGTGCATTTCAATTTTTATTTGAGATTTTGAATATTAATGTACTTATACAGGGTGAACCAGAGTCGTTGAACTAGCTTTTTATTCTATGAGAAAATTATCGATGCACATTATAATCCAATAGGTATGAAGTCGATAATTTTCTTATAAGGTAAAAAGTTGGTTCAATGACTCTAATTCACTCGATAGATGAATTCATATATAAAAAATAATATTCGGAGTTTTCAGCGTTTGCTAATTGTAAGTGCTTTAACAGATTAAACAAAAATATTTATAAAAATTTATTATTGGAAAAATTTCAATGTTCATTATTCTGTTATGGTCTTGATATAAAGAGATACCTATTGATTGATATGAAAATATATAAATAAGTAAAAATTTTGTGCCTCCATTGTCGTCATATTGATCGACTCCACGCATGATAAGTCAGTTATTGACTTCGATCGCATTATCAAACATTTCGACTCTGGTTCGAGCTATATCTCAGGGGTGCATTACTATACGTTTCGACTCTGATTCGAGCTATATCTCAGAGATGTTAGTATTACATCGACAAGATACTATTAAAAACCGACATCCTTACGGGAGTTCGCGTCCTTAAGAATATTGAAGTGATTAAGAGTTAAAAACTGATATTGTATTAATTTTATGATTTATTAGTTTAGTAGACGTATTTATATATTTAGAACTCAATGGGTGCTTTGAAGACACAAGTTGACACAAGTCGTTCTAACTTTGCCACTTTCTGAATGTCAACAGGAATAGAATGTCACTTGTGTAGACTTGTGTCATCAAATGGAAAGCACCCATGAATACTCGATTTTTTTAAAAATTGATTTCAGTGTTATCGTCAAAGTTTATCAACAGAGATGATAACTGCAGAGAAAAAAATTGTAATTTTGTTGTAGTATATGGGATATTATAGCTTTACAAGTATGTATATTTATTTATGGAACATTTATATAATAAAATTGAATTTAATAATGCATGAGCCAAATATTTATGTTAATAATAGCAAATTTATATCAATTGTCGATAACGTCAGCGTTCTTTAATTATCTCTGGGCCCTTTTTATACCGCCGAAAATTTGTCCAGGATTGACGGTTTTTAATAGTATCTCGTCAGTGATAATTATAACACCGTTATTATAATACCTGTTGTGTAGCTTTTTTATCATATAACTAATTCGTTAAAACGATAACGAAGCGTTAAAAATTAGAGATTAACGACTGCTAATTCTTTCGCAAGGGTGAGAACATCGCCATTTATTATTTGTAAAAATCACGTATCAGAAAATAACGAATTACTGAGCAGGGTTGTGGTTTGCACAGAATTGTGCATCTTCGCATAAATTATAATATTCTACGTTTAGGGAAAAGTGGATTGTGCGCACCTAAGGAAAATTTATTGTTCTGAAATGATTTTCCAAGTTTTAAAGCGATATAAGAGAGTATGGAAATAGAAATTAATTAAAGAATGGAAATAGAAACTATAAACATTCTTCTACTATTACATATCCTCATACTCTGGTGAAAATTTTTCTCATAATTTTTATATGAATTGGAATTTTTCAGAAATACTCAGAAATATTCGGAAAGTTTACAGCTTCTCTCAGAATTTTTCATATAACTAAATTCTGAAATATTCTGAAATTTCTCATCCCATAATTTTTAAAAAATATTTTTAAACTTTTTAGATTTTATAACATTTCATCAGAAATTACGCTTACAAAAAATTTTAGAAATCTTACGAGATTTCATAATTAACATATACATATGAAAAATTCTGAGAAGAAATGTAGATTTTTTGAGAAGTGTTCCAATTCATATAAAAATGTGAGAAAGTTATAAAATTATATAGAAATTCTGAAAAATTATATAGAAATTCTGAAAAGTTACATAAAAAATTCTGAGAAAAATTTTGACTAGGATATTGAATAGATTTTCATTCAATAAGGTTGTATTTGGCAAAAAGGAAAAAATGGAAAAGCGAAAAAATTTCTCATAATTGTGCGCATGGATTGGATAATTGTGCGCAAAGCAAAAGTCAGAAGAAATGAATGAATTATGGAATGAATGTATCATGGAATGTTGACAAAGAAATCAGAAAATATATTTATTATATAAATTAATATATAATATATTATGTATATAATATTAATATAAAATATTAATATATACTATACGTATATGTGTATGTGCATATAACACATGTTCTGTAAGTCAAAGAATTGGTACTTCGTATACAATCTGGATCTGTGAGACTCGAACAAATATTTATTATTTTATCTTATATCTGAGATTTTCTTCTATGGAAAAAAATTTACTAAATTATATTGCTAAATAAAATTGTTTTCAATGAAAGTAACTCAAAATTTCTCGGATTTTAGAGACTCATATTTTAATACAGAGAACAGAGAATTTCATCCTAGTAGAAACTGTATTCCACAATACATAATTTCTGATAGGTTAAAATTTTTATTCTCTATTCCCTATTCTCAATTCCTTTTGCGTAGTCCCTTATTCTCTATTCCTATTCTCTGCTTTTATTCTTTGATTGTGCGCAGCCTCTAAAGCCAATAGCATATGGTGCTTGTTTTCTTGCTGAATTCCTAACTGAATTAGAATCTTACGTGTTAGCTGCAGTACTGCCAGCATCTATAATTTAAAAAAAGTCGTTTTTTTTCGAATGGTAGAAAAAAACTACAATTTTTTTTTTCGGAAAAAAGCAAATATAGCAGATCTTACAAACACACATACATTTTTTCAGTGAATTTTTCTATCGTTGGGAAAAGAACCCAGAAAATCTGCGAAAAATTAGAAAAAAAACTGTTCCTAAAATTTTAAAACTGTACCAGCATCACAGCCAATAGTGAGCTAATTTAGCATCTTTTTGTCCTTATGGCTCCCGCAGGCAAATACTCGCGATATTATTGAATGTAGTGGTGTGGAGGGGGGACGTTCCCCCATTTAATCTAGCAGGGCGTTGCCAAATTCCAGCTTGCACATGGTGGGAACAAGTAGGGGATTTAGGGGAATATTGGCATCTATCTTTTATTATTTTCGCTCTGTCCCGTTCTACTGAGACGGGAGATGGAAGCGTTTCGACTCATGAGCAGTGTTGGACAGGTCTGCCCTAATAGAATAAAAGTTTGATTAATGTGTAGTTATAATTCCGTTTAAAAAAAAAAAGAACAAAAAACTCCGCACTAATCCTGTATGAAATTAGGTCCCGGTGAGATCAAATGGTTTTCTCATATATTATAGCTTATGACTTGCTAAAGCATAAAACATAAATTTTAATGTAAAAATATGAACAGTAAAAATATTTCCATGTTCGATTCATCTACAATCGCTGACAATCTCACCACACATAAAATATTTAATAACTTCTAAACGGCTCACCTAAAATGGATAAAATTTGTTAAGTGTTTTGAGATATTAAAATTTAGAGTTTTGAGATCAATGACGCTAATTTAAAAGTCCAATGATCGTTGTAACTTATCGCATGAATTAGGCCGAACGACATATCGTTTCATCATTTTTTATATCAATAATGTTTCTCGTAGGAATATCAGGTGAATAACGGTAATGAGAAATCCGCTAATGAAAATAATGATACGCATTCAGTTATAATTATATTCCGGCTTATCGAATTTATACGTATATTATTAATTTTGAACCAGCGCATCAATATTCGTCAATAAATTGGCCGCTCTAGGTGTGCAATTATATTCATCCAATAATCGTTTACCTTTATCGTTTAAAACTTGAACGTTTGTGTATGCACGTCATTTGTTGCAGAATGCTTCTAATATAGGTTTTATTGCCATGATGACATGAGATAGGACTCGGTGTGCAATGCACTTTTCAATAAATTTTTAGCCTGATTTCCCGTTCCTTACCTCACCCACACAGTATGAATCAGCAGTGTGTATATCAATCTGTTCTGTCGTCGATTCCATCGGTGTCTTTTCAAGGACAATTAATTATAAGATCGCCAGCGGCTAAATTGCGTAAACTGTTTGCGACATCTCTTTTATATATCTTAAATGAGTATGCAACGCTGATTCAGAGATTGCACACATATCGATGCGTTTGTCTGCGTGCCTAAATACGTATCGCGATGGCTCAAATTGCCTGCGGGCGAGCAGACACCCCATCAGCATCCATCGCTGCTACATCGCGGCCGAGAGCACCAGTTATTACCCCCTCAGTTTCTCATCCATATATAAAGGTAAATTTATTTTGAACTACACTGAATCCATATCATTGTTATCTGAGCTGGCACTGATAAAATGTCTATCATCGTTCAATAAAATCCGGATCTGCGAATATGAAAATTAATCAAGCGCAAATATTATAATGTTTTTATTTACACAGCTGCAGATGAGCGAAGAGCGCTCTTCAAAATCGTTATATGTAAATCGACATAAAAATGTTTAGTAGAAATGTTGAAATGCGAGTTAAATCGTGAATACGTTGTATTGCACTGTTTACTGAAAATGTAAAGTGCACGTTATACATTTTATCATACATTCTATTTAAAATATCTTGGTTTTATATTCAGATATATTCACAACGGTCATATCAAAGAAAAATCTTCGTTCTCTTGTAAATACTGAGTCGCAAGATATGCAAGGTATACCTGCCACAGAACTGGAAGAACGTCATGTGTGCGAGAAAAAAAATGGAAAAAAATTTCTCGTGGCGTGCCATATGGTGGATAATTCTGTAAATTGATGGAGAATTTCACGAAGCAACTGACACCCGGGATACGGGTTCCTACACAATCAAATGCCGCTCTATGTAACGTCGCTCTCATATAGGACAAGCATTAGTTTTAAGGGCAAATTAATTAAGACACTAATTAAGAATTTAATACCTCTCTAACACATGAAGACGTTGACTCTTCACGGCGACGCTTGCGTTAACGCGTGTCTCTTGCGAAATCAATTAATCCAAATAGAACAAGTCGTTATAATATTAAAAATTATGTCAAAATGACTCCAAAATTTCATTTACCATTTATTTTAACATGACTTTAACGCCATTTTGACTTGTTATGACTTGTTCTGTTTGGGAATGTACAATTGAGTTTGAGTTCAATTACCCGTGTGATATTAAACGATGAATCGTTGAGAGAGAGAGAGAGCAATTAATTTTATTGCCATTTTACTGTGTGGTTATACTTTTTTGTCTACAAGCATTCGTGCAACACTGTTGTGTAATTACTTATCGCGTTATCTGCAATCACTGTGCAATATTTTGCATTGCTCTTTAGCCTAATTTTATTCATTTACATATATCTGGTGGCATTATAACAACAGCAGCAATTAACGCTGGCGCTTTCTGTATAAGTTTTTTATTATAACTTGTAATATTGCTGTATGATAAACTAAATTGACATTAAATTATTATTAAATGACGTGAAGGAAGAAATCTTAGAATTGAAAGTAAAACTAAAGAAAATGAAAATTGATCAAGAAATAAGCAAAGAAGATCATTCATTTGCTATAACAACACAATGCAAAAGACAATGTTTTTCATAAATATAATAAATATAAGTTTGAATATCGTAGCGTCAGTCGTATCACCCTATGCAATACGGCGTGACGTCGCGCTTCGCTTTCCCTTTCTACACGCACAGACGCACTCGTATGTTGGGTCACGCGGAGATCGATAACAAGCTCTTGGAAAGGATAAAATAGTTTTTATCAAAAGAATTCACAATATTTTATTCAATTTAAGAATATAGTATTTCATACTATTTCTCTACAGTGTTATGTCTGCGAGAGATTTCTATCGCAAGTATACATTGAAAAGATAATCGCTGAACGTTCAGCGATAATCTTTGACGACAGTATGGACAGTGTGGATCGATCATGTTTGGAATTGAATGTTATAAAATATGTTTTTTACTTACAGTCGACATTCAAAATCGATAAGCCATCCTAGAAATTAGAATAATCGATTAAATGTCGATCTTACAAGTCGACTTTAAGTTGACTAAAAAAAGTTGACTATTATATATATAGCTGTGAAACTGTTACGCGTACTGTGTGGGAATTGTGTGAAATAAACATGTTATATAATTGTTACAATATATAAATATATAAACATATACAGTTCTTTGTTTGAGTTTTGATTTATTTTATGTATATGTTATGGACAATATAATTAATTCAGGATTTATATATATTGGCTGACCATTATGGATAATGCACGCTTTATTAAGGCATTTATAAAATTGTAAAATATGATTAGATTTTTCGGTTAAAGTATTTTTGCGTTGTCTTTAAGTATACTTAATTACAGAGTTGAGAAGTAACGCATTACTTGTAACGTCATTACTTCGATCGTTACTTACAGTTTTTATTAGATGATTTGGCTTAGATATTTCGATATTGCTAGCGCTGAAAGATGTTTCGCTTTAATAAGTCTGTTCGCATTGTATGAAATCCCGAAATATTTTTGCACTTAAAATGAGATATATAGATATATATTTGGCCTTGAAAAGAGAGAAAGCGAAGATGCCGAGTGCCAAAAGTGCAAGTAATGCGAATAGACCTAATGTCTTTAGAAGTACTTCTATGTAGTTATCCAACGGCATGTTCGAATTCTCACCCAGGTGCTCCTTGGATGTCGATCATCCTTGTTTAACGTTCAATAAACCACAAGGATGGAATAATACTTGGGTGATACTCGGATGAAAATCTGAACCCAGCAAAAGTTGTGTTGTTATAACAAATGAGCGAAATATTAAAATTTTTTTTTAATGCTTATGAATTATGATATATCTTTTCCAAGTATGCAAATATATATTTATAATTTATAATAATATTGTATAGTAAAAGGTTATAATATGCAATAAATGCTATAAAATTATTTTATCATTTTATTTTCTCATTTTTATTTCTTAAAAAATTTATTTTTTTAAATTGATATTTTATATTTTATATCTTTTATATTTTATATCTGCATTCCGATAGTCCACTATCAGTATTGAAAAATTGTAATTTACATTAACATATATACTATGGATTTTCAGTACCGAAGTGAATCTTAAATATATTCCAGTAATATTACATTTATCGTATGACCAAACATTTCAAGTCTATTGATTGATTACAAGAAAGAGAAGTCGTCGGATTTGTTTATCCTGTGGCCAATCAATAAACTTAAAATTCTTATCGTATGACAAATGTATAATATCAGCTTAAAGGCCACCGCATAAACATTGTCGTAACGCCTTATATCATCTTATGTTATCCATAAAACATAACGTAAGTAACGCATAGAAAAAAACATAGTGTAAGAAATAGTAAAGAGCTTGTGCTATGTTTTTCTTTATATGTTGCTTATACATTATGTCTAGAGAGGACTATATGTGAAGTAACGCAAGGCTCTGATATAAAATGGCATAAGTCGTTGCGACACTACGGCAATATTCGTATTATGGCCCTAAGACCTCAGCATAGACTTTTGAAGCATAACGCATAACGCCTGCATAAAAGAATCAATCAGAAAGTTCCTCTTTTTCCTATGAAATAGAAAGAAAGGAAAGATGCTGATTAATTCTCTTATGCACTATATGCGTTATACAAAAGTCTGTACTGCGGCTTTTAATAATAACACCAGTGTTTAAAAAAACAATGTTAAATTTAAATTTAAAAATTAAAATTGTTGAGTTTAGCTCTCTCACGTGCAATGTTGATAAAATTAGACTCATTCGACGTGTTTTTGCACAAAACGATCGAATCAGGCAGAAAACAATTGCTGTTCTGCCTTATAAAACGAGATATTAATCATTTAATTTGACGACTATTTAGGTTAGGAAACCTGTTATACTGGTGAAAAGCAGTGACACGAGCATAATGTGTTGTTTGATAGAATTTGACATGAAGTTCATTCAAATATTCCAAGATATGATACAAAAGTATTGGTTGAATTTGTTTAAAAAAAGGAGTTAATTTTAATGAATAATTATATAATGTTTTAAAAGTGATTACGGTAAATTAAATCTTGCAACATCAATAAATTTCTCAAAATAAAATATATTTTCTGCTTTATCTCATTAAAAGCAAATTTTATATAATTTAAATTATAGCAAAGAATATTTTATTCAAAATGTATATCTACACATATTTTCTGCTTTGATTAATTAAAAATAAAAATTTTCTTATCTTAAGTTGTAAAGAATGTGATCACAGCACATGCTCAGTATGACAGGTTTCTTAACCTGAATAATCGTCAAATTTAAAAATTATAATCTCGTTTCGCGGAACAGGGCGGCAATTATTTTTATCAGATTCCGTCGTTTTGTGTAAAAATACATCGAATGATCTAATTTTATTAATATCAAACGTGAGAGGACTAAACTCAACAATTTCAACAGTAACGAAAAAATAACGATTAATCGTTACTTTTTAAATTAAATAACTAGTAACGGTAATGCGTTACTTTTTAAAATAATTTTTAAAATAAATAATTAGTAATGGTAACGAGTTATTTTTAACAAAAAGCAGCTGTAACGGTAAGACGTTATTTTTTTCAGGTAACGTTCTCAGCTCTGCTTAATTTTACAAGTGTTTATTCGTAATACATAAACACATATGTATATACGTATATACATACATATATTATACATCTATTTGTACGTTTATTAAATCAAAATGGCTATATTAAAAATGCTGAAGCGTACCTTGTGCAGAAATATTGCAACAAGCGGATCGAGATTCGTGGGCATCATAGGACCCTTAACAATTCCACCACTACAGATTGCAATTTTATATTATTTCTGGCAGGATTATTCGAGAGTCGTGGATAAGCGGTACTGTTCCTGCTCATGTTGGGACACTGTCTTTAAAGGTAACACATACACACACACACACACACACATACACACTAAAATATTCTAGAAATATACTTTTATGCCTGTTTCCACCAAAGTATATTAATTTTAATCTCAATTCAATTTACTCTCTATTTTAATCTCTTTTTTAATCTTGAGGACTAATTAAAACTAATTAGAACTTTTTATAATTTTTTTAATTCTTAGAAAAAGATGAAAAGTAAGTTGAATCAAGATTAAAATTTTCTCCCACACAACATATTTTATCCAAGATACATCTTTGGATAAAAGGACATTCAGAGAACATAAGAATATCCTCTAGACATTTTTAAAATATTCTTTGAAGATCTGTGTTGTGTGGGCTAGTTCTAATTCTTAGAACTAGAAAAAGATAAAGAATAAATTGAATCAAGATAATTAAAATTAATTTATATTAGTCGAAACGGGTACGAAACTACTAAATAGCAAATCGCAGATCCAACTATAGAAACCAAAATTTTTTTACAGGCTCATACGAATCCGGCATCGCTCCTTACAAACACATGTACTTTAATGCTACTTCAAATATGTTGAAAATATGGATACTCATCGTCATTGGAGTAATCATGTTTTACGAAACAATGAAACATTTGGCGAAACTGGCCATCAAACAGAGACTAAGACAGTCTATGATGCTTCTCTTTTCAACTGCTCTGTTCTCCAATTACTACTCATGGTGGGTCTATATTAATTACTGGAACGATGACTTCTACTCTCAGTGGTATCACCAGTTGTTTTTTACAATTACTGAATTAATATCTACGGCTTGGGTTGTCTCCCTTGCGGATAAGAAAAATCCAATCACACACAGAAAGGCTTTCGGCATTGCTGCGATAGCCTTTTTACATATCGTGGCTGGTGGGTGGGATCAGTTCTTTGAAAATGTCGTTAGAGGAGAGGGTCACGCACACCAGGTAAGAATTCACAAATAATAATGAAATAAATTGATTGCTCACATTACATTGGATTAATGTACATTAAAATTGCTTTGTATAAAGTTTCTAAAAACAGTAGTATAATATAACTATATATATATATATATATATATATATATATATATATATATACTCTATTACTCTAGAACTATGTTGTAACTCTAGTATTATATTCATGTATAAATTTTACGTACTTATTGAGCATTAAGCTATGTTCTTTCAGTAATTACAACTTCAATCTGTTACACTAAAAGCAAGGACAAGTTATTGAAACTTCTATTACTTATATACATTAATTAAGAGTGGCCTATTTTCTTGTACATAAAATTTACGTATCAGTAATGATATTATATCATTGAACTTAGATTGACAATATTATTGATAGTTGAAAATATTCATTACAGGTCATACGCGATTTGGGCTTTATGATACCGGATATTCTCCAAGTCATCGTTCCATTATGGCTGATTAAACGGGAAAGTATTTACAATATTCATCTTCCTAACTCATTAGCGTATATGTCAAGTATCGTGATGATCGGATTGTGCATTTGGTCATTTCTGTTGTAACGATATCATTAAGGATAACATAATACTGCGCAATGGACGGCAAAGTGATTGAAAAATCAACAATATTATCGTGTCTCTGGAGCTCTACTACTTTTGGTCCTCTTAGTATGAGTACAGCTGACCTAAGAAAAATCAATACGGGTTGATAGACCGAGTTTCGCTCGAGCTGCCATTATGTTTCCGCTGAGGCTCTGTATTTTCCCGCACAATAAGGTTATGATGAAATCACACGATGCTCAATTTCTTGAATGATGCATGCATACTTATCATTTAAGAAATTGAGCACCATGCACGGAAAGAAAAGATTGGCTGAATATGGTATAGCATTTTTAATTGGTTGCAGCAGCCTATTTTTGGTTGCATTATGAGTTGCATTAGCTTATCCTATACTAACATTGCAGATAGGCTAAAGCAATCAAAAATTGGCTGCTGCAACAAAAAATTGACTGTTGCAGACAATTAAAAAAGCTAGGCCATATTTTACTATCTAATTTAATTATTGCAGCAGCCAATCTTTTTTTTCAATGTGTGATTCTATTTTTACCGTTATGTCTTTCCTATAGAAGCAGTAATTTTTTACGTGAGCGCGAGTGCAAGTGAACGATTTTCACGAAACGTGTGTGAGTTATTGAAATGATCACAAGGATAAATATTAAAATAAAGGGAGTCATCGTCGTTGCTTCGGGGCATACGATTTTCCATATAAAATACCCCATCTCCCAGGTTTTAGCCGTAGTTCGTTATTCGTTGCAAAATTATTAATAGTTAAAGCTAGTAATTATTTCCCTGCTTTACATGAAGAGTCAGATGACTTTAAATGAACAGAGAGATATGAAATGGATGAATTCAAGGAATATAATTTTCCACGAGAACGACTTTCACTTCCTCTCCCTCTCTAACAAGATGCGTACGACCATGCGTGCTTTTCATGAAAAGTCGTATGTTATTTTATCAGAGGGGAAGGTGAGATGAAAGTTGCTAAAAAAAAGTTTGATTTCCAATAAAAAAGTTGACATTCCAATAAAAATCCTGTTACATTCCAATAAAAATTTAGTTGTATTCCAATAAGAATCTTGTTACATTCCAATATACGAGACTTTGTCAACGGCCTCTTATTCAATGGAAAAAATTTCAAAGAACATACTGTGACACTTCGAAGAGAAAGAAATGACGTTTTGTAAAACACATATCAGCTAATAACAATATAGAATTGTTCATACTTTCTAATTAATTCAATTATTGAGATATTTACCTTAGAATAAATTTATTATGACTGTAACATATATTTGAAAAAGGGAGATAGAATTTTCGTCACATAAAAAAAACAAAATATTACGATATGTAGAGTAAATCGATCGTAAAACGATCAAACATAAATTTTCAATTCCCAT